CACATTATAAATAAAAGAATACCACTAGTTAGGCCCATGCGAACATTCCCCACTTTGTAAATCATTGATTTAAAAGTGAAAATAGCTTCGTACTTAGGCCCAACTTCAGGTCTCACATTCAGAACTCATCGAAGCATTGTAGTCGTGTCATGATGAACCTATTGACGCTTCAATTTAGTTTTACATAAATTTCGAATTTCTGCTCGTTTTTTACCACTATGCTATGAAGTAGAGGTCACCAAAAGATAAATTCTTCGTACAATTCTTCGCTCCGCCTGACCTGACTCCTGATACATTCCCCTCGCCTGTTCCCAGCATGGTCCCCTCCAAGTTCACTCTATGGTCCCTCGGTTGAAATGAGAGGTTCAAATAGGATGACGGTTTGGCATGAAACTGTAAATAGTGTTTATCTGAGTTTATGTGTTTGTAACTATATGTATATGCTGCACAGTGTAAATGATGTAAATAGAGTTCGGTATTGCAATAAGTTAGGATGTAAGACAAAGTAGAATAGGATTAGTTCGATAGAATTTAGTTTGTAAGGTAGGCCGTAAGTGATGAATGTAAATAGAATCAAGAATAAATATGATGTTCATCAAGTGTGTCCAACTAGTACCCTATACTTTTCCCATGTGATGACCTACATATTTTCTCATAAGCTTATCACAGATTTCCAAATGTTCTCCCCAAATATTTCCACATTACTCCAAACGTCCACATATGTTCTTCTAGATTTCCCCCCAAATGTTTCTTCATATGTTCCCACGAATGTTCACCGCAAGATCTCCCACTTGTTAATCTGGAAATTAAAAGGCAAACTTAAAAATTTAATTTCATTGTTTTTTACGAAATACTTCTTAATAAACGTTAAGATAGAGTGTGGTGCGTCCCTTGTAGGATAAAAGAGAAGTTCTGATTAGCTACAGTAACCAGAAGAATAAATTCATCCAGAAAATGTAATAGATGGGCAGCAAACGTTTGTTGCAGAATATTTCAATTGTTTTTAAAGTGAAAATAGCTGCACTCTTATACTGGACTTTCAGCGTTTCTGGCAATCTGTGTAACAGACTGATGGGAAATAAAAATGTAATAGAACGTGCAAAAGGTTCTTATTATTTAGATTAAAGTCTAAAAAAAATAACTTGTGACCCCTAGTGTAGCATAAATAACTGGCTTCTAAGCTATAGGATGCATCGTGTACAAGTTATTCTCCATGGTAATGTGTTTGCAGTGTAATGTTTTGCGATTTCCGTGTGCAACTGATAATTCAAATTACCATAATCAACAAACTGCTATGATTTTGTCTTAAATCTTACGATAATTCCATTTCTAGCATTGACACACGGGTTTTTATGTCGGTATCTTATAAAAGAAAATTATCCGCATTTCTTATTGTGTATTTCCAAATTAATGGTTAATGTATGTATGTATTATTATTAAAAGTTGTTAAGTACTGATTGCCAAACAAATCACAATTGCCGAATTTTAAAATTAAATATGTTGTAATGTTATAAATTTTACTGTATTATATCACGTGATATTTTTTGTAGTTTGTAGTATTGTCTATTCCTAACATCAAAGACATTAAGTAAAAAAAAGGTGCTGTCCAGTATCAAAAGTATGTTTCAACTTAAGTTCTTTTCACAAACGTAGCAATCGTCATCAGAGCTATCAGCAAAATTACAGCAAAACATGTATATAAATTATACAATTTATTTTCAAAACTTATACACAATTGATAACATTGCGCGAGGAAGTCAGATGCGTAAACAAACTGGATCATACCTTGTAGTCTCTAGGCGGAAAACAAAGTTCTGGTAGATCTGATGATGCTACGCAAACGAAAAGATCTTAAGTTGAAACATATGTTTGATAGTGGGCAACAACTATTATTTACTTAATTAGTAGAATGTATATATCTCACCAGCCATCGCATTAATCGAAGATATTCTCAGCAGCGGTATGGCAAAAGCAGTTCCTAATCGCTTTTTCATAGATTTGGGTCCATAGTACGAGGGTCATTTTTTAAGTAAGAACCGTTTTTAAGTGGAGTAATAGCAACTCTATTTATGAACATAAATTGAATCAAAAACTTAAGTTTGAACATCTTTTTACATTTTTACATAGTCACCAAGAATATATTAGCATGTGTTAAGTAGTGGCACTAGCTTTTGGATCCCCTCATCATAGAACTCTACCGCCTGAGCATTTAACCAGTTGGTAACAGTTTCTTTCAACACGTCATCATTTTCAAATCGCTTTCTACCAAGATATGTTTTGTGTTTAGGAAAAGCATGAAAGTCTGATTGTGTCAGACCACGGCTATTGGGGGAACGCTAAAGTAATTCCCATCGAAAGTAGTCCAGTTGCGTCTTTGTCATTACTGCAGTGTAAGGCCGAGTGTTATCGTGAAGAAGCTCGACGCCGCTAGACGAAGACCCCGCCTGTAGTTTTGAATAGCGCGCCTAAGCTTGGTTAGTGTTTCGCTATATCTCTCAGCATTTATGGCCATTCCTCTTGGCAGAGAGTCAATCAGAAGAACGCCTTTCCGATCCCAAAAGACCGTGGCCATGATTTTTCGTGTTGAAGGTTCTTGTATGAATTTTCGTGGTTTCGACGGTGCATTTGAGTGATGCCATTCACTGGATACACACGTTTATTCTCTGAAGTGTCGTGTGCTACCCACTCTTTATCACAAGTAACAATATGATTCAAGAACTCATCACAACCCTCATCGTAGTGCTTCAAAAACCACTAAGAATGTGCCAAACGCTTCCTTTAGTGTTCTTTTGTCAACATTATTGGCACTCATTTCGCACACATTTTTTTGTAATTAAGCTTGTCGGAAACAATGTGATAAATAACCGATCTTGAAAATTGTGGAAATTTCTCGTCAATCGTAAAGATCGGGTTTTAGCGAATTTCCTCTTCAACTTGTTTTGTCACGTCATGATGAATGACAGCAAGTCGTTCCAGATCGTTCTTCCCAGATCATTCTTCAACATGAACATTTATTCTACCTTCATTGAAAAGCCTACATGATTTACGCACATTACTGTCATTCATTACACCATTATAAACTTCAACAAGCTTCCGGTGAATTTCGGCGAGATGAACTTGTTTTGCTTTCAAAAGACGAATAACCGAGCGCACTTCACAATCGGCGGGTTTATTGATTTACATGGCGACAAACAAGGCAGTGTTAAGATAGAACCATCAGTGGTAGAGACATGAAATCATCTGACTGCGTAGTTGCGGACTGGGCAAGAGTGGCTGACCATGAGCGGGCGTCACGTGACAACACGCGCGGTTGCTATGCGCAAACGGTTCTTACTCTAAAAATGACCTTTGCCGATCTTAGCGATATTGACAAAAGAAAACGAGAGCATGGATTACCCCAGAAGGTGTGTCGAAGTTGATCCCCACTAACCTGGGGGAAAAGCATATTTCAAGTGAAGGTACGCTGCTGAAAATGTTGACTCGACTTCACGTATAGCTATTGGGGTGTAATACACAACAGAATCATTGCCATCGCTGACAATCGCTGCATTTCTCACATTCAGAGACCCGTTTGAACTTTGAGAGCGAAGCACGATTTCGAAGCCATTAGCACTCTAGAGGGCGCTCACGACACCTTCCCTTCCCCGTCGATGGATGTGGAGGAGAGGGGGGGTTTAGGCGCGAAAGTTGTACCTCCGTCTACCATATTTTCGATGCACGCGTACTTTCTGAAGTAGTAAAGCTACATGTATTTGATTTTCAACAGTCAGTGTAACATGTGGGTACACTGCAAAATGTAATGACGTTACAAGAAAGATGAGCGGAATTGACAGGAAGATTATCAACCGAACAAAATGTGTTAATATAATGCACATTGTGCACTCTTCGTGATTCAATAAACCAGTCCAATTGTAATAAGAAAACATGGGAATACATTTAATACTAAAATCCTCAGTAAATGACTAAATAAAAATTAAATCTAAAAAATATTTCTATAGGCACATTATTCCCATAATACGAGTATGACTCTCCATTCATATGTGACGGAAGACTTTCACTTCATACTAAATATCTGTGAATACAAAAACACTCAGTATTTAAAGCGTAGTTTCAACGACTGCTTCGATTAAAATCGAGTTCCCAACCAAACGCAAGGACGTTAGAAAAGAACGGCGAAAATTAAGTAATTTATCAGCAATAGAACTACAAAAAAGTATTCATAGAATTACTCATATTTTAAATATATATATATATATATATATATTATATATATATTTATTTCTATATATAATATATATATATTGGTTATATATATATATATATATATATATATATCACCAAATTTCGTCGGGTCCGATCGTACCCTATTTCTGTTATTTATAAGTTAGGTAAGGGTTACATGAAAACGTGACGATCATTAATCCGTCCTCAATGTTTGTTATTTCAATATAACAAATAATTAGTTTCAAAAAATATTTTTTTTTTAAAATATCACACTGAGGCAAATTTTAAACCAGTCAACACAATCAAAGAACTTGATGGCTCAGTTCCAAATGCATTGTTTCTTTCCATAATCCATTGAGGAATAAAATTATGTGAACTTGGTTTCTTAAAAAGGTATTTAAATTCAATCCGAAGCGTGGTCGAAAGGTTTTAAAAATTACTATAGTAACATGTGGAACATTTCTTTTAAAAATCTTAAGTGACTCATGAAGTTGTATCAAATTATGTTTAAACACATTTATTAAAAAATATATTTATTGAAGAATATACTTTAAATAAAAATACATAAAAGTATTAGTATAGTGACATACGTAATAAAAGAGTCATAAATGCCTCAAAAAATCTTAAATCGTAAATGTTATAATAAATATTCGATTATGAAAATTAAAAGTACAATACAAAATACGTGTAAAATAGTATCTCAATATTTTTTTTTTTTTTGAGTTAGAACGTATTTCAGTCCTATTATAAATATTCAGATGCAGTTTATGAGACATTCAGCCTTCCTCATCTCCTTCTTCTTCATCAAACTCGCCTTCTTCCTCGGCTGTGGCATCTTGATACTGCTGGTACTCCGAAACAAGATCGTTCAAGTTGGACTCAGCTTCTGTGAACTCCATTTCGTCCATGCCTTCACCCGTGTACCAGTGCAGAAACGCCTTGCGTCGGAACATGGCGGTAAACTGTTCGGATATACGCTTGAATAGCTCTTGAATAGCAGTAGTGTTACCGATGAATGTGGCGGACATTTTGAGACCGCGAGGTGGAACGTCGCACACAGCTGTTTTCACGTTGTTTGGGATCCATTCTACGAAGTAACTGCTGTTTTTGTTCTGCACGTTCAACATCTGCTCGTCCACTTCTTTCATGGACATTCGTCCTCGGAACATTACGGCCACTGTCAGGTATCGGCCATGTCGAGGATCACAGGCCGCCATCATGTTCTTCGCATCGAATATCTGTTGGGTTAACTCCGGAACGGTGAGAGCTCGATATTGCTGGGAACCGCGAGATGTAAGCGGAGCAAATCCTGGCATAAAGAAATGCAAACGTGGGAACGGTACCATGTTTACAGCCAGTTTACGGAGGTCGGCGTTCAGTTGACCAGGAAACCTCAAACATGTGGTTACTCCTGACATTACAGCGGACACCAGATGATTTAAATCGCCGTATGTTGGCGTAGTCAGCTTCAGCGTGCGAAAGCAGATATCGTACAACGCTTCATTATCTATGAAGAAAGATTCGTCGGTGTTTTCTACTAGTTGATGGATAGCCAATGTCGCGTTGTACGGCTCCACCACAGTATCTGACACCTTCGGTGACGGAACAACACTGAATGTAAGCATCATCCTATCCGGGTATTCTTCTCTCACTTTAGATATGACTAGCGTTCCCATTCCAGAACCAGTACCTCCACCCAAAGAATGAGTGAACTGGAATCCTTGCAGACAATCGCAGCCTTCTGCTTCCTTCCTCACTACGTCGAGAACGGAATCGACGAGTTCTGCTCCCTCGGTGTAATGACCTTTGGCCCAGTTATTTCCGGCACCGCTTTGTCCAAAAACGAAGTTGTCGGGACGGAAGATTTGCCCGAAAGGACCTGAGCGTACAGAATCGAGCGTGGCTGGTTCCAAATCAATCAGAACAGCACGTGGGACATACTTGCCTCCTATAGCTTCGTTGTAATAAACGTTTATCCTTTCCAACTGCAGATCTGAATCTCCATGATAACATCCGGCTGGATCAATTCCATGTTCATCGGAAATCACCTCCCAGAACTTGGCTCCTATTTGATTTCCGCATTGACCAGCTTGAATGTGGACTATTTCGCGCATGTTTACGATTAAAATGTTACAAATTCACAATATATAAGGGATCAAAAGTGATAAATAAAAACAGAAAAAGTAAAAAGAATCTAAGAACGATGCGTACAGCAGATCGCTGTATAACAGAATGAATTAAACAATATCCTAGCAACCCTTTTCGATTGTGTAAAAACATTAAAAATCTCAACAATTGAAGTCGACTTGAATAGTTGTTTGAACCCATTTTTTGTGTTCTGCAAGTTAAAACAAATTATGATGTCTATTTACTTACCGCCAGGTGGATGAAGGTTGATTTGGCGAACGCCACTCATTTTTTCGCATAATATGTGGGTCTTATTGAATACATTGGAGTGGAGTGTGATTGTTTCTGTTACTCAATAATTTATGTAGCATTGAGTTTTTATAATTATCTGATTCTTAAGTAATAAGATCAGTTTTAATCTTATGTAACTTACTCTGTTTTTAAGGAAAAATAATAAGACGTGAATTAAATAAATCTTCAGAACTGAAACGAAACTTTTGATGTGTGTAAAGTAATTGAAATTTTACTCATTAACCGCCAACGTTCTCATTTAAGGACGCATATTACTTATCAACTCCTAATTTGCTTCGTTTTTTCTAATTTGTGAATTTTATGTCCTGAGCTGACAGACATCATAAAATAAGTATATGAGCAAGTTTTCGAATAACTGAATGAAAGATTTTGGTTACGCCGAGATGGCTAAAGCATTGTTATTAAAATATTGATACTGATAAGTTATTATTTTTTAAATTATATCAACATTTTGTAACTGACATACCATGTAGTCACGTAGAATTATTCAGTTAATTAAATCGTGTGTAATATTTTTTAAGTAAACTGAAAATGTTTGCCCAGTATTATTGTTCTGCTAATATGCAAGAAGAGAGATTGGTTTCTGACACCACTGTAGTGCAATGGTGTTTTTAAATGACTGTAAACTACTTGATGTAAGATTATTGTAATTATTAGAAGAAGAAATTTCGTTGACAGAGCACCCAGATGCATGCTCCCAAAATTCGCAATTGTCTGCCTGCGACTGCAAATTGAAACTGGAGAAAACATCCAGTCAAACTGCACACCCAGAAGTAATCAAGAAACTCGATATTTTAATAAGCGAACATTTTAGCTGCAAAACGCTGTTAGCATGACTGATGTTATTGCCTATAGACACTTCAGGGGACTATCATTTATCGAATATAGCTCTCTAAAGGAAACATTACTACCCCCTGAAAGATATGCAGATAATAATACGAGCATTTGTGGAATTTTGTTAACTTTGATAAGGCGTGGTTCATACCTTGTTACGCCGCCGAATACCATGATGATAATACATAACAAAAATGCGTTTTAAACAGATTAATTGGTTAGTACAAAATATCTAGATACTATTGAAGTACTTTATTGCGTGGTAAGTGATATTTTCGTCACTCGACAGTGTCATCAAAAACGCGGGAAAACGTCGCAACGCTCAGCCCCGTTGGCAGACGCCCCACCGGTGTCTGCTGTGACATGGCAGCCTGCATGAATTTTGTGTCCGGAAGAAACACTTAAATTCAATTTTCTCGACGATATTTTTTTAAACTTGCTCTACCATTTTTTATGAACTTCAATTAAACATTTGGGGTATATTTTCATGAACAAAGCTTCCAGATACTCTGTATCGAAGAAGATATAAGTAAAGGAAAGAATTCAAAGCTGAAAGCAATTGCTTCTTTCCGAATTACTCAAAACTCTTCTAGCGCGAATCCGTTCTTAGGAGAGGAACTTTCAATGTAACTGCCTCATAAGCAAACCCCAAAAAGAATTTTCTATAAATATTCGGGAAAATGTGGAGATATATTGATCAGAACTCTATACTTTAAATTTTCCAATAAAAAATATCAAAAATAAAAATGTGAATACTTAATGTTCCGAAAAATATTAAAATCTATGATTGCATAATACATAAAGAGACAAAGCGTTGAATTACAACACGATAATCACTATATACACTGAAAGAATATAGATGTAACTTTCATGTTACATTTGTTTGAAGGTCAGCAGTACTTTAAGTTACAATTTACAAACAAAATTTTATATAGTTACAAAATAATTACTTTTCTTAATTTTTTCGGCTAGATCACATCATGGATTAAGGAATTACTCAACGCAATGGTTCAAGAGCTCTCCAACAGTCGTGTGTCAACGTGATTTGAGTAAGCTCTTTACGCCATTGTATTATATAAATTATTCTTATTTTACAATACGAAATCTCCTGCATATAGTGACAAAACCAATTTTAGATATTGCTATGTAATTTCTCTAATTGAGAAAGAAAAGGCAAGGCACGACGAAGCCAAAAGCCTTTCGACGGATCGAGAACGGAGCAGGGCAGTTTAGTGCAGATCATTGTGGGTATGGGATAAATAGAATATAATAGAAATTTTCTCTACCACAGGCAGGAATATATGTAATTACTCTTCTTGTGTAATACATTATTATAATAAGCTGGCAATGCGAAGTACTTCAGCTTGTACTTCAATAAATATAGATTCAGAATTGACTAGAAAAATGTTCATAATCAATAAACAGTAGTTGCAAATACAATCAATTGTTCAAGTGTTCACTTACAACAATACTGACACGTAACCCGGGTACCGACATATTTAATAATTCTTCAGTCGGCTGTGGAACGCACGACAGGCAGCATCTGTCCAACTCACGTGCGTTTTTCTTTTCGAATTAGTTTTTGCTTATATATTTTTTTAATATATAACTTTACAATTTTATTTGATAACAAGAGACATCATGCGAGAAATAGTCCACATTCAGGCTGGCCAGTGCGGAAACCAGATCGGAGCCAAGTTCTGGGAGGTTATTTCTGACGAACATGGCATTGACCCCACTGGATGCTATCACGGGGATTCGGACTTGCAACTTGAGAGAATCAACGTTTATTTCAACGAAGCGACTGGAGGCAAGTATGTGCCTCGAGCAGTACTTATTGACTTGGAGCCAGCTACTATGGATTCAGTAAGATCCGGGCCTTTCGGGCAAATCTTCCGTCCCGACAATTTCATTTTTGGACAAAGCGGCGCCGGAAATAACTGGGCCAAAGGTCATTACACCGAGGGAGCAGAACTCGTCGATTCCGTTCTCGACGTAGTGAGAAAGGAAGCAGAAGGCTGCGATTGTCTGCAGGGATTCCAGTTCACTCATTCTTTGGGTGGAGGTACTGGTTCTGGAATGGGAACGCTAGTCATATCCAAAGTGAGAGAAGAATACCCGGATAGGATGATGCTTACATTCAGTGTTGTTCCGTCACCAAAGGTGTCAGATACTGTGGTGGAGCCGTACAACGCGACATTAGCTATCCATCAACTAGTAGAAAACACCGACGAATCTTTCTTCATAGATAATGAAGCGTTGTACGATATCTGCTTTCGCACGCTGAAGCTGACTACGCCAACATACGGCGATTTAAATCATCTGGTGTCCGCTGTAATGTCAGGAGTAACCACATGTTTGAGGTTTCCTGGTCAACTGAACGCCGACCTCCGTAAACTGGCTGTAAACATGGTACCGTTCCCACGTTTGCATTTCTTTATGCCAGGATTTGCTCCGCTTACATCTCGCGGTTCCCAGCAATATCGAGCTCTCACCGTTCCGGAGTTAACCCAACAGATATTCGATGCGAAGAACATGATGGCGGCCTGTGATCCTCGGCATGGCCGATACCTGACAGTGGCCGTCTTGTTTAGGGGAAGGATGTCAATGAAAGAGGTTGACGAACAGATGTTGAACGTGCAGAACAAGAACAGCAGTTACTTTGTCGAGTGGATTCCAAACAATGTGAAGATTGCTGTATGTGATATTCCTCCTCGTGGACTCAAAATGTCAGCCACGTTCATTGGTAATACAACTGCCATCCAAGAACTGTTCAAGCGCGTTTCTGAACAGTTTACCGCCATGTTCCGACGCAAGGCGTTTCTGCACTGGTACACGGGTGAAGGCATGGACGAAATGGAGTTCACCGAGGCAGAATCCAACTTGAACGACCTTGTGTCCGAGTATCAACAGTACCAAGATGCAACAGCTGAGGAAGAAGGAGAGTTTGATGAGGAGGAAGAAGGCGAGGAAGGTTAAATGTGGCAAATCTGAAGTTTTATGAAATAATATTTTTAGAAGTATGTATTTATTTTATTTAATATCAGTTGTAAGAATTTTTACTATTTAATGTACACTAACTTTATTTATTTCATTTTTATACTACCTTTTGTTAAGAGTTTTATAACTAATAAATGTATATTTATATTTTTATTCGTTTTTTTAAATTTAGATATTCTTTGTGAAAAAGTATTTTTATTATTGTAGAAAGGTTTTCAACACAGAATGGTTCGTTTGAGAAAAAAAGGAAATATGTTCAGCGAAGCAGTTTTTCCTAGATTCACCTATTCCTGAATCTACCTCATCATGTAAGAGGTGCTTCAGATTTCACCAGAGATCAAAAGATATATCTTTCTGGATTAAATTATGCTAGTATTTATTATTGGTGCTGACCTTGGAACAATTGGTGTACAACATCCACGAGGTTATGTTAGAGATGTATCAATAAAAATTCTCATGAGTGAAAATTCTGCTGCATATCGTATTAAGAAATAAGAATTTACCAATGTTTATTGTACTGGTTTTCAATGGTTTGTTAGTAATCTAACTCAGGGATAAACACGAAACACATTACAATATTGATATTAGATGTTTTCTTACTACACTACTGATATTCAGGTTTCTATTGCGTGTTATTATACTATAAGATATTCAAAATAGCAAAAGAGAACACTGCCATTACAATGGTTGTAAGGGAAGTACTTAGTTTACTTTTGAGCAAAACCAAAAATGGAAAAAAATAAGATAGAAAATTTGAAATTTTTTTTTTTGGCTGTAATACAAAGATGTAAAAGCTAAAACGTTTCAAATGTGCTGATTCTTCTGGTGAATGGTAGATAGCAAAAGTAATTACTTTTTTTTTAAGGGAGATCGGAATGGCTCCAACAATTACAACGGAATTAGCTTTCTCAACACCTGCTACAAACTATACGCGTCGATTCTCCCAAACAGCATATACGAATAGATTAAAAGCTATGTCCAAAACGCTGCTCTCAGAAGCTCCACCTGGTTTTAGGTAGTGAATATGTGATTTTATATTGTCATTAACACAGTTTATTCTCTGAAAAGAGTAGAAAATATCAACACCCTGTTTACATAGCTTTTAGAGATATACAGAAGGCTTTTGATAAAGATAACATAAACTTGGAATGGAGAGTTATAAAAGAGAAAGATGTTCAACAACAATTATTAGAGCTATTGAGAGCCTCTTTGTTGAAAAAAATATTTCTAATATAGCAAATAATAAAATGCCTGATTCTGAACAAATAAATTGTGGATTAAGACATGGATTCTCACAGTCATCAACAATTTTTAACGTAGATTGTACATTTTGTATTTTAAAATACAAAGCCCAGAAATGCGTGAATCCCCTGGGGCATTTTCACTACGTACCCCGCCACCGTCTTTATTGATTCTGTTTTGGAGTGTCCGTCGTTCAGTCGAGCATGTGATGGTAAGCTCCGTGTCAGACGTCGTTGAGGATAAAGGTTTTTTTCCTACGTATGTATTGATTTTCAGTGATACTTCCTACTTCTCTTCAATGCTTTCTTACTATGTGTCATAACTGTGAGGAAAAAATGTACATCCCCAGGTTAATATTAGTTATTGATTCCTAAAATTGGTGTTGGTGGGACGACAAATTAATTATTAAGTTAATAATTTATAGGGTACTAAATTATTCATCTAACAACAAGAATTAGGATTCAACTTGTAGCACGCATCTTCTTTGGCCGTTTATAACAATACAACATATCTTTCTGGATGTAATTGTTTAAATGTTGTTATTTCACTTAAGAATAAGCATATGAAGGCAATTTAAATAGATGTTTTGGTATCTTGTAGCCTTCTATGGGTGTCATCTGAGTACAAAACTTTGGCTCGCTTAGGAGCGAGTAGCGGCAGTGTGCATTGACAGACGAACTTCTTTTACATTTAAAATTGTTCCTTGGCAGTAGTTGCGGCAGCCGGCCACAACCGTGCGCTACTGGCCTTGAAAAGGAGGACTTTTTCTTCATAAATCGATCTGGGCAGAGATCTAATCACGATCTGGGATAAAAATTTAGATATTGGTTCTTGATGTATCATAGAACAACATATATTTTATTTAGATAAAAATATTCAATTTGAAAATTGTATTAAGTATATCAAATTTTAAGAAACAAGAAGAGGTTCTTTTTTATAGGAAGCAACATTGAAAACCTTCTGAGTGTAAAGGTTACACTCTCAGTTTGAGGAACGTTCAACGTGAATGAGGTGTTGTACAAGTACAATTCATTATTTCATAATTTCCCAGAATGGCGTAGAATCAGTTCTCCACATCGTCAAGAAGGTAGTGAGAGTATACGCAGGGCCGAAATGAAGGCTCAAATTGCGGCAGTCTCCACTCAAGGACATAGAGGAGCGAAGAGACTCACCGCAACATTTTTCAATACTAAACAAAGTTAAATATTTTATCAATTTCATGAAATGTAATATTTTATATTGAATTTGTTATTTTTTTTGATTATGTATTCATGTGAAATATTTAAGAAGGGACAGAACAAAATTTATTAAGTAAGAATTATGATTTTGGAGGAAATTGTAATTGTTATAACAGTCCTATAACGATTGTTAATATGATTAATAGATAAAATATGAAATCGTCAGTATTAAATGTAATAGGATGTTAAGTTGCATTAGAATTTGATTCACTCAATGTTAGTTTTTAACTTTAATTTGTTCTATGGGTTGTGAGGAAAATGACTCCCACAAAGTTTCTGCCCTGTATTTTCCAATAACACAAAACTGGGTCTCCCATATAACCCCCCCCCCCCTCGCCGTCGAGAACAAGTAGAAACGTCCTCGTGGCCCTTAAGACGGCTCTCCTTACCCTAGCACGTTCGGTAAGGACCATTGGATTAAACCGATAATCCGTCCACAAGGACGTAAGGCTGCTGGCCGCCCGGCTCGCCCACCCACGCCCGGAGCTCACGACCGCCACCGCCACCGCGGCTCAGGGCTCCGGCCGGGGCGGAGTGGTGTGGGCGCCGCCGGTCTTCCGCCGGCCAGCTCGCACGCATGCGCCGGGCGGGCCCGCGGCCGGCGCCGCGCGCGCGCCGCGCCTCGCCGCGGCCGCGCCTCGTACTACGCCGGCGGCGCGCGCACGGCCGCTAGTCGCGCTCGGGCAGCGGAGCCGGGCGAGTGGTGCGGCGCAGATCAGGTGGGGTGGGAGACGCCGAGAAACGCGCACGTGAGAACGGCGACCGGCGACGGCTGCCGGCCGGCAGGCAAGCGACGATGACGGCGACGGGGGCGGTGTCAGCGGTGCCGGCACTCTGAAGAGCACGTGACGGTGGTGTGTTGCGTTGTGGTGGTGTCGACGTGGTCGTCGTCTCGAGTCTTGTGTCGGTGTGATGACAGTTGGGCTACCTGCGGTGGCAAAGGTGATGTCAAGATGACGACTGCGGGCTGTTTCGTGTGCGTGTGTGCGGGGGTGCGAGTGGCTGCTGGGAAACCCGGAAGAAGCGGCGGGCGACTCCAGGACGAATCCGGGCTGCGGTGGTGGCGGCCGTGGTTGGTGCTGTACCTGATGCTGACGCCCGCTGTGCTGGCTGATAATTTAGGTGAGTGAGACAGTTGACTCAGTGAATGAAGAAGACGGATACCTCTGCCTGTTTTCGCAAGTTAACTGAATCCAAGTACTACCATTTGTCAAGGATCATGATATAGGGATCGTCTTAAACCTATGAGCATCCTTTACTTCATCGGAATCTGCAGGCAGAAAATTGACAACCGTAATTTCGGCCCGTAATTCCAAATGACTTCATTGCGCTTGTAACAGACGAAAAGAATAACTAGTGGACATAACCATAATTTCATACACAGCAAACATAATCCGTTTAATGTTGAGTAGTCCCAGTCATTACATTCTGATTCGTGCACAATAATGAAATTACGACAAGACTTAGTTTGCCAGTATTCTCCCAGACGTAAAATGATCCAGACATGCAATACAATAGTTGTTTTCAAATAACACAAACCAACATGATACCGTAAACTGATGTCATAGGGAATATAAAAGTAAAATACCGAGAATAGACTTCAAAACCTGGACTGGCGTTTGGTTGGTCCGTGACAGATATAAGGAGAATGTTGACATCTCTCTGAGATATTTATTAAACTCGTCAATTTCTCTTTTTATAGTTTGACAAGGAAGTGGCTAATCATCATCTCATCAAATGACAGCCACACAAATTTCTGAGGTATTAGCACAGTATTAGACAGACTTGCTGGGAGATTTTGTCTCCAGAACTGAAACGTAGAGGTGATCTATATCGGCAACGCGTTTTAAAGAGTACACTGTCGGACATAACAGAAATATTTTTTCATGAAACATTTTCTAGTTATTTGGTGCAGAAAAGACTTTGCTGTCCTAAGAATGTGATGATACTGATGTATGTCGTAATAATTTGAGTTTTCCTGTGTATATTAATTTATTTATATTGAATTATAATTGTTTCATGAAGTTAACACAAATATAATATACTCATTTTGGTTCTTGTGTAATTTCTTCAACAGGAGGAAGAACTTTTTTCTTTTGTGTTCAGTGCGCATTGAAGTTATAGGAGAAAACAGTAGACAATAAAAAAGTAGTAGTACTGTGTGATTAGAGATGATGAAGACCACTTCCTGTCTATATAATGTACCATAAATAGTAGTCATACACAGCTCGTTGCAACTAATTACTTCACAAACTATAATGTTACGGAAAGTTAGCGCGTTTTTGATTTATAACGCGGATGTCAGCTTAAAACCGCTTCTTTTTTTATTTTTAAGAATTTCAAGGAAACTCGACAAACGAAGAGTGGTTGAATATTGAATAAGCAGAGAAGATCCATTGCATTGCACCAAAAGCAAACTATCTTCTCGAAACCTGTGGTTTCGCTCATGCGAGTTGATCGCTTCATCTGTAATGTTTTTGATGAGAATTGTCGACTGCTGTTCATCACATTATTCCAGGGCTGCCTTAGTATTCTCTTTCAGAAATTAGTGGAAGCTTTATTCACAAGGATCGGGCGGAATAGCGCAGAGAGGAGACAAAAAGAATGTTTGAGTACAAATATGATTGCAAGCGCTCGAAAATCGATGTGAACGCCTGGAAAGAATGCCAATGAACATTTCCAGATAGGTTACGTTTCGTCAAGTGTTTGCGTTCCGCGTTCGAATTGTATTGAAGCCCGCGAACTGGCGTAGGCATCCCCTCTTTCAATTGTATTTAAATTCCATGATTTTTCGAAAGAAATATGTCGTAGTTTTCTTACATAAGAGGGATTTGTTTGCCATTCGGATGTTTTTTAGATAATATTTATTTAAATAATTATTTATAATTTATAAGTAACCGTGCCAAGAAGCGGAAACTTAGCGACGGAAACAGACGAGTACGGCGACAACCACTTGATGTGTAAAAGTTGTGGGTTCCTCGTAGCTGTTTGCGCCTTTACACATTTCACCTCATCTTCGCGTCCGAAAGCAATGCCAAATCACTGAGCCTCTCATATTATTTTCATAATAATAATAATAATAATAATAATAATAATAATAATAATAATAATAATATATATTATTATTATTATTAAAATTATTATTATTATTATTATTATTATTATTATTATTATTATTATTATTAAAATTATTATTATTATAATTATTATTAATATTATTATTAGTATAATTTAATTCAGAACTTCCATAGTGGCCTAAAGCACAAAACAAACAGAAAATGTTTAAAACTGTAATAAATGCGTAAAATGAAAATGGAGCTGCGGAATGTTTATAACATTCATGATAATTAATATTAATTTACACCAATTGCTAAAACTGTATTTACTACAGGCTATGGTATTGTGTGTCGACGTATGTCAAAAAATAGCATGTAAAGCCAAATTTAATTAATTCAGTACAATTACGTAAATTAAATCACAAAGTTGAAGCAACCGTTCTATCATTTTAAGCTTTATAATGTGTTAGACATTCTGCGGCTCAAATGGAGGTGATTTTTAACCAATTGGACCCTAACGAAAGAAACTCAACCTTCTTGAACATGGGCATGATGTGTGTTTTCTGACTAAACTGAAGAAATTGTTACAAAGAGGGATGTTTATTTTATATAATATATATTATATTGTATATTATATAAATATCATGTTAATAATATCGTGTTAAAAATCTATAAACAAGAGAGATGGTTAATTGAGAAAAACAATGTTGCCTGATCAAAAAGGGATGAGTGGGAGTACTATAGGGCAACTGAACCTTGCATATAGTTTTAATTCCCTTGAATGTCTTATTATATCGTACTAATATGCATTGCATCTGACGACGATGTTGGAAATAAACTAAAATTGATTTATACATATGTGTGGTCAGATATAGAATCCTAAAGTATGAAACAAGAAGGGAAACTAATTAAGTTCATTAACATAATGTTCTGTTAGTAGTAGTTGCCAGATATCCACTAATTGACAGTCCGCTTTTTTCACATTATGTTCACTTTTTTTATAAAATTGTGGACTTTTTTCTACAAATTCAAAAGCTTTATGATTAATTGCTACGTAATCTGAAGCTACACAACATAAAGATAATAAGCGTAAAGAAATTTACTAAAAAATATGTAATTCAATTGGAATTTGTTTACTATCCCTCTGCTTCTCCGCTATTTTTGTGGAAGCAAACCTGGCACCTTAAGTGATACATGGAAACGAGACCTGGACCCTATCAAAAAGAGAATTAAATCGAGTGTGATGTGCCGAAATAAGATTTCGTTGGGCAGTGCAGGGGTGCATTTTAAGAGGACAAGATTAGAAGTGAGAAAAACGCACGGAGGTGCATTTATTTAGCCTAGAGAAGATCTGCCAAAGTAAAATGGATGGATGTCGTCATCTGGATTATATGTGTAGCAATCATGTTTCTCAATTGGCAAGGGAAAATAAACTAGCGGGTTGTAGGAGCACCAATCATCCAAGGAGATGGTTTCCGGAACAAGCAGCCCTGCTTAAACGGGAAATTGCAGAAGAAGATGAAGATTTTCTTGTTTTCTTTTCGAAACATCTTTCACTCCCGCAGAAATAATTTCATTTACAAATCATTAAACTAAATCGAACTCAAAAGGGGAAAGTTTCATATTTGAGGATAACTCGGTAAATTTCTTGATAATTGATGATTCTTTCTATTTGAATATCGTTATTACGCCCATTTCTGAATCATCATTTCCTTCTCTCCAAGAATTTTAACAATGCTGCGAATATAAATTACCTGATGGAAGAAATGCTTATTCATAGATGTCATTCCTATAAAACAACTTCCATATCAGATAGCATTCATTATAATAAAAGCCTCTCTTAGAAATATGAATGCGAGGAATTTGTTTGTCATTCAAACCTCTGTCTTCCCTTGGTCGTTGTTGACATACAGTAGTTAGTCTTCTCATAGCATATTTTAGCTTCCAATTACCACAGCACACGGATTCTCTGTTAAAAGGGGGAATGTTGTCCAGGCGGGGCGGAGGTTTTGCCCGGCTTCACTGGTGGATGTTACGTAGTTTATACTGTTCCAGGAATATCTTACGACACGCAATTTTCAACGTATTCGAATCTTTCCTTGATCTTTTGTTTTCGTTTTTAAAATAAGGCGAAGCTTGCGAAACCTAAACAATGAGATTAGAAATCCAGAGACACGCCGAACGTCGGTTTTAGTTTATATTTAGCGATACTTCTAGACGGTTTGTTATGGAATAATTTTAATGAGGTTCCTTCGAAGAAAAATATCTAGCAACATTTTTCTACAAACATCCTTCGATCAAACAGTTGTATACATTGGAAAATATTGATAACGCAATGACGTGTCAAAAAGTACGAATAATTTATTAAGAATGTGACAGTTCGATTCAAAAATTGAGATGTACAATTGGGAGTTATTGATGACAATTTATTATTATTATTATTATTATTATTATTATTATTATTATTATTATTATTATTATTATTACTATTATTCGTATTTTAAGAGTGAAAAATAGTTGGCAGTCTCGTTTTGACTTAATCAGATACTACTTCTTCGTTCCACGTGGTCCATCCATGCACGTCCAAAACCCCTATCGAGATTTACACAATATCCACTTGAGAAATAAATATGCTTTTCCGCCAACATTTTTCGATTACGAGTGCCTTAGATGTTTAGCACTAGTGCAGCTATCACGCCCTGTCGTGTTTCGTTTCAATTAGCAGGTGTGAAAATCGCTGGAGGAGAGCCGCGCCTGGGCTCCGTCAGGAGTTCACCTCGTGCCGTCCATGACCTTAACATCCCGCCGAATGACCACCGGTCCTGGGCCGTATGCGCTCGAGCCGCTCCGAATTCCTCGGGCCGCGGGCCGGGAGGTCGACAGCTGTTGTTTTAGCGGAGGTCCGGTTTCGCGGGCGGGCCGAGGGGACAGCGTACAGTAGGCGAACAACAAAAACCTCGGCCTAAATATTTGCTCTATTTGATAGGTTGATTGTTACTAATTCCTGGCGCGTCGACTACCAGGGTCATTAGTCTCGTAAGTGTAGTGCATGTTTTTGCTCGGGAG